AGAGAGAAGCAGAAAGAAGACCCAGAAAAGCACGCACCAAGAGCACAGCGTGCAGATGCGCCTCCCGCCAAGGGCAGCAGCCCCAGTGTCACCCACCTTCACCTTCGCCCCTGGGGTCCCTCTGTCACCAGCCACCCAGTCTCCTGCTTGAGACCAGACGGTCAATGACTGTGGCGGAGTCAAGTCAAAAAAGAGGCCTCACGTGCGTGTCTCACAACACACTCTGCACATGGTGGGCTGAGGCGGCCTGAGAAGGTTCTGGAGCTGCGCTTCGGCAGAGGATGCATTTCTTTTCAATTGTTTTCACCCGTTCCAGCTTCCTAGACAATCTGTTTCTAGCACTAGGATTTGCAGAGGACATGCAAAATGGAGTCGCAGAGGATGCCGACTCGGTAAAGCCACAGGTCGTGCGGGGCTGGCTTCTGCGCAGAGCACCTGAGGGCGTGCCCGAGCATCGGCCGCCAGCGGGAGCTGGGGTGCCCTGGCTCCTCTCCAAGTGACTGGAGCACGGCACTCAACCGCTGGGTCTCAATTTCGTGGCTTGTGAACAGAGTAACAACCAACCACTTCTCCAAAGCTGTTCTGAGGATTAATTTAGATATTACACTTTACAAGTATTTTTCACAGAAGAATTTATAAAGACACAAGTCATGCTGTTGTGTAACATGATTCGAGGGACGAAACCTGTAAGAAATGGTATAACGCTACATGTGTATGACACAGGCCTCATTTCACAAACACAATGCACACGGGAAGGACTCCGTGATATGTGACAGAAATCTAAGGTTATGACTGTCATGCTATAGACAGAACATACTAACTGCCCCATTCCTGAAATTCATGGATGTAAAAAATGCCACCACGGATCTGTGGTGAGTTAGGAGGTTTGTAAACGGAGATTCTATCAGCCTGCCTAAAAATCCATGGAATGCTAATCTTCTATCTATAGTTTCCAAAAACTGTATTTTTCTAAAACGACTGAAAAATGTTTACAGCCTTTCAAAAAACAATAAAGGAATGGTCTCCAGCCAGGTTTATAAGCAAGCTGGCTATTTCTTTAAGAACAAAATTTTAGAACTAGCTTTAAAAAGCTATCTTAGAAATTAAAGTATTTTTAGAGGTATCACAGCACATTTTTCCTGTACCGTCTAGGTCGGAACAACAATTTGATGGTAGCACTCCCAGAGAATGTTCTATCGCTTTGTTCAGAATCCCACAACAGAGGCTCAGACACAGATAACACATTCGTGATGGTGCCACCGGTGTCAAGATCTGTGTTTCCCAAACTTCTGTGTTTCCGGGAGGCGAGAGGAGTCCCACAGCGCACCCTTCTGGGAAGCGGGCGCTACAGCCGCGTCTTGAAGACCCGCAGTGCACCCTCAGCACGCTCTGGGTTTTGAGGAAATTCGCCATAAAGACGCTCATTTAACTTTGATCCAGCACTTCTGAAACTTGTCTGAATGCTGAGTTTTTTCTTTTCTGCAGCATCAGTGGTAGCACCTTGTGGTTTTCTGGATACGTTTGAGAAGCGCTAGACGAGCCTGTAATCTGTCTGTTACCATGAACATATACAAAACTGCTGGCTGGTGGCTACTGCTTCTGCACGGAGAGGGGAGTCAGAAGAACACAGACATAGCACAACAGCAGTTTACACTCAACACCCATCCAGCACTTCTCAGACTCAAGGACTCCAAGAACGCGCCTGCAGATGCACTAAGTGCTGGATGTACTAAGTGCTGAGAAACCTTCCACACTGCCACCAGCAAGGGCTCACCTCAGGCCACGAGGCTGGAGATGCCAGCAGGCACCAAGACCCGTGGAGACACTTGCACAAAGGCGTGGTCCGGAAGCCTGGGCAGTTTGCACAAATGGTCAAGTTTGAGAGAGGCTGAGGCCCCGGCCCCTCCCCCGCCCAGACAGCCACAGACCCCCAGGAAACTGTGACCTCAGTTTAAGAAACACAGATCTAATCCAGTATTCCCATTTCATAGAAGGACAGCCTGCCGGGCAGCAATGACCCGCAGTCAACCCCTGGGGTTCCAAGTCCAGGCTCGCGACCCCGTTCTTGGGTGCTAGAATGCCACCGGGCCTCCTGTGAGGACACAACCACCCGCTTCAGGAACAATGCAGCCTGATGATCCCCGGAATCCAGGGCCCCGGGTGGTGCACAAGCGTGCATGTATAAGTCTGCCTGCACCAAAAGCCTAAAAGCAACACGTTTTGCAGAAAAGAATGCTGCCTGTCTGGCCAGCGGTCTAGGATATCTGTGGCAAAATTCACGTTCTTGAATTTGTAACCTTTTGAAAATCTGCATGTCATTATAATCAACTGCAATTGAAATCATTTTCACAATGAAGCAAAATACTATGCTTGAAAAAACCCGATTTAAAAAAATATCTCTGAAAGCCATCTAGGTCGCTTTGCTATTCATGGCTGCAAGATTCTTGTTCATTTTTCTTAGTGAAAAGGCGGCCTGCATCCTCTCTCGGGAGGGTTTTTGGTGTGGATCGCCCGCAGCTTGTCCTGGCCCCGTGCCTGCCACCAGGTACTTCTCCTTCCATTGTGCTTCCTTTCTCTCCTGGTCAACTGGACATCACTTTACAAAACCAAAAAACAAACTGTCCTCAAAGCCAGATGTGGTGATTCACGCCTATAATCCCAGCACTTTGGGAGGCAGAGGCTGGAGGACTGCTTGAGCTCAGGAGTTCGAGACTAGCCTAGGCAACATAGCAAGAGCTCGTCTCTACAAAAAAAATTCAAAATTATCCAGGTATGGTAGCACATGCTTGCAGCCCCAGCTACTCGGGAGGCTGAGGCAGGAGGATCACCTGAATCCAGGAGGTTGAGGCTGTGGTGAGTCACGACTGTGCCACTGCACTCCAGCCTAGGCCACAAAGTGAGAAAACAACTCAAACAAAAAGCCAAGCAACAACAACAAAAAACCTCAGTCCAAACAAAAACTTGAAAAGTCGTGCTTTTTCCCATTTATGCACAAAAAACAATAATGCTTCTTTCTGGAGACAAACCTTCCAGTGACTGAAATTTGTTTCTAAAAAAGAAGGAAACAGAAGTGTACCAGGAGCAGCCTCGTCTTGTCCAGCACACACCTAAGCTAGGAAGGGCGCGCTTGCCTACCAGGGAGGGGGTGTCCTCCACCTGCCTGCCCTGGGAGGACGCTTGGGCTCAGGGAGAACGGCCAGCCCTCTCAGCTGCACACTACGCTAGCCCCCTCCGCCCCACGTAACAAATACTGAAGGCCACAGGCTAGCAAAGGCAAAATTTATTTCAACTGTACAGAACAGAATTTTTATAAAACAAACACTTCATTGCCATATGCAACCACAAACAGTAATATGCATACTGTACAATACAATGCAACATTCAGATATACATCCAATTGTGTTTTCAAATGGTAGTCACCTACTAAAAATGGCTTTTCCCATTCACAGGTAAAGAGCACAATATAGAGATTTTTATCAAGATCTTATACCACTATATACACATTACTGTGTTTTGGCAATTGTATGCAAAACACATCATTAATATAGCTTATCATGTACTGTGGCAAGTGTTATTTCAATGGGACACCATGTGGGCCACTTGCGAAGGGCCTGGTGATGGCTTAGCCTACCTTCTAGTTCAGACTCTGCACCCTTTCATGATAATACTAACTGTACACAGATATTACAGGCTGCATAAACAGGAGATACTATTATCAGCATGACTAAAGTTCCACAGAAGCAGAAACACCGGCCCCTGGGTGCCATATGACCAATGCCACATGAGAACTGTCTTTCCGGGCCTGTGGCACTAATACTTCTTAACCAGGTCACGAAAGCTAACGGTGTTGGACATTCAAAACAAACGCAAACAAAGAAAAGGTCAGGTTATTATTCTGCAGTGATCTCAGCATCGACCAAGAGCATGGTCAGAATGGCTTTAACTGGTACAAAGAGGAGCGGTGGTCAACTGTCAAGACTTTGGTGTCTAGAACATCCATGGAAATGCCTCATTAAGACAGCCAAACAGTACTTGGCGTTAGAGAAATCCAAGTGCAGCAACTGTGTTCCATGCTGTGGCCACAGGGCACTGACAGGCAGCCGAGCTTCCTACGGCATGGCAGAGGCGTCAGAGCCCACGCCCTCATTCTCAGGCTCAAGCCAACAAAAGACACGCCACGGTCCCCATCAGAAGAGGACTGCTCTAGGTCACAGGAAACCAAAGCCACTTCCCAACCCATCGCATGTCAGTAAGTTACAAACTTCACAGTCATTTTATTTCTCAAAAACCCCATTTGCTATTTATTTGGCTGAACGTACAGAAACCTCATCTCGACTGGAGATTAATACTGGGTTTTGACTAGTTTTAGAAGACTGCCCCTCGATTTTCCCACTAATTGACATAAAAACACAGACTCTCCAGATGGCATCAGCAGGTCAGCAGCCACTCGGGGACAGACAGATACGTGGGCTCGGCAGCGGCTCTGCGGACTCCTGTGCCAGCCCCCATTCCACGCAGAGCGAAGCCCCAACTCCACGTGGTGCGGCTGCCGGGGTTCCCAGACCTGGGGCTTGCGAGCAGCCGGACCCAGTCCCAGCACACGGCCACGCCTGGCCCAGGGCTCACTCTGCGCAAGCACGGGCAGAACACCGCGCACAGGGTGTGGCGGCGGAGCGGGTGGCGGAGGAGGGGCCGCGGCACCTGGAGTTACAGCCGCCCTGAAGAAGGAAAAACGTTATTCTCAGTTTACTCTGGCATCCGGCGTCCTCCAGCAGGTTTCCACGAATACTTAAAACACAATGTAAGGTGCCACCTGAACACCAAATTGAGCGTGCGTGGGAGAACACAGTCTGGCCCCTCAAGCAATGACTTGATGTGGATCTGAGGCTGCAACTGAATGCGACTCTCACATTCAGTTCTTTGGAAGCGAAATTAGTCTGAGTGAGGCCAGTGAAAACTCCTTACAACAAATCCCAGGACAGCCGGGGAGATTTGGTTGCAAGCGAGTTACAAGCAACCTAGTAAGTCTGCAACGGACTTGGGTGCCCACGGCATGAAGCCTTGGGGTTCTCGCTATGGGTTGCTGTAACGGAGTTTCACTGAGGCTGGGTGCTGCAAACAATGACGTGCTCATGGCTCTTTAAGACAGCGCCAGCATGGATGTTGGGGGCAGCCGGGGGACTGAAGCCAAAGCACTCCACTTTCAAGTATTCCAAATGCCTCTCCCGACACAGTCAAGTCTACACTTGCAGAGGCTGAATGCTTCAGATCTGGGACTCTGAGCCCTCAGGACAGAGCTTTCAGTGTAGAGTGGCATAGGCTTGCTAAGTGCCACATGACAAAACCACTGCAGCTCAGGGAAGTCGGGGTGAGGATGAGCGTGAACATCTGAGCCGGGACAGTCAGCTCTGCCTCTGGAAAGGAGAGCGCCCGCGTCCTGGCCACCACGCAGCACACGCAGAGCACAGAGCCGTGGGTGCAGACAAGCTCTGGACACACGTGACGCCCGCCCGTCTGTGCACGGCCAAGGCCCACAGCCCACATGCCGTTCCGCGTGATCACCAGAACACAGCCCTCGGAACTGGACTCGCAAGTGTTCTTCTTATCTCTCCACTACTCGGTCAGTGTGGGTGTGAGACATAACACACACGGGTCCCTACAGATAAGGCCAGAGTCTCCTCCGTGGTGCTGGCACTTAGATCACAAACCTGTGTGGTTTCAGGACAAAATATAAAAGTGTGCATACAGCCGTATCCAGAAAAAAATGAAACAGTTGCTACACTGAGGATAAAAAACAAACCCTGTGGAGCTGTGAACCGACCATCCATCAAGAAAAGCCCCCCTGGGTGTGGGCTCGTGCGAACACACCACCTCCCTCCAGCAGGCAGTCACTGGAACGTATCTCGAATTGGCAATTAAGCCTCCACAAAGTACAGTGGGAAATATCAGAACACTCTCCAGAGTTGTTAAAATATCACATAAAAGAGACAAGGAACAGCAAGAAAACACCTAAGAAAGCAGGCTGCGATACAACAGGCATTGGTTAGGAGAGCTCAGAGTGCGTTAGTTCTGGTGAGAGATAGATGAGCAACAGCTCTTACGAGATGCAGAACCCATTCTGTAACTATGGGCTGTCCATATACTGTCATAGTCAGAGTCTTCCGAGAGGTCTGAAGGCTCCAAACGGGAAAGGCTACTGCGACGACCCAGGGAGTCTAGACTTGATTGGTCATCATCAGCCAAGACGTGATTATGCATCAGGTCAGTGCCTTGCCATGCTAAGACGGGCGGATGGAGTGACAGGAGCGACAGGCACAGGGGGTGAGGAGGAGGACGGACAGGAAGAGCCACAACCAAACATGGAACAAAAGCAAAAGGTGATGGGAAGAGAAGGAAAAGAGAAAATACTGTTAAAAAATGGCAACAATGCGTTCTTCTTACATAATGAACTCAGCACAACCCTTAGCATAAAACCAGAGCAAGTATCATCTACATAAACCTAACACATTGCATGGCTTCCGCATTGCTCCTTGTTATGGATATTGCTGTAAAGCCCTCATTTAAGAAACTTTTGTAAATTACATGTCCAAAAGATGATTCCAAAACGTGGCAATTGACCAATTCTATTCCACATTCAATGAGCAGTCTCATTTAGGACATTATTTGCAAAAGGTACCACTCATATGGCTGATTAAAAACAGTTTTCCACTCAGTAAGTAGATAGACTTAATGTAAAATGATTTGAAAGGATTTCTGACTGACTTCTTCAGCTATCTCTTTGCCAAGACAATGACTCACCAGAGGGGGTCTAAACTTACCTGATCAATCTACAACCACTGAGAACATTTCAGGGGAAGCAAGCCAGGGATAGCTCAGGGTCCGGGGCCCCTCAGCAACCACCAGCCGCCCACAGGGCGCTAGGACTCAGCCCACAGGCAGGGCACGGCAGGAAGCGAGTCTGTTCGCAAAGCAACTGACCCTGGGACAGTGTCAGGGGCATCTGCCAGGGCCGCAAGGCCTCCTCCTGCAAAGGCGCACGGCTAGCTACAGCACCACAGGCTCGAGCCCGCTCCTGCTCCTAAGCAAAATGACCTCTGCTCCCAGGCTGTGACAAGGACGAAGTCACAACAGTCTTGAAGGCCTTTACGGCCTCAAGACGGGGATCAACCCCAAAGATGTTTGGCTGATGAAGCCTTCTTGGCATCCAAATGTACACTGAACAGAGCTGGATTTTAGGTCAAAGACATTCTTCTTCTAAAAGCCATTTTAGTGGGAGAAAAAAGCCAAAAAATGAGAAACCTGCTTTCACTATGATCCCGTTTCCAAAGGTCTTGACTGCGAAGGCCGCCTTCCCAGCAAAGATGGCCCACTTCTCCTGTGGCCCCATTTGGGGAGGGCTGGGTAGAAGGCCATATGTGATCGTCAGCCCTCTGAGGCCCCAGGCTGGTTTGCCTGTGACAACAGTTACAAACAAAAACCAGCGTGCCATCCACAGCCTTTCCTGCACAGGAGAAGTGGAAGACCTAGCACAGGCCGTGGGAGCAGAGAAGGAGCCGTGGGCCGTCCCGCCAGACAGCAGAAGCAGCGAAGCAGGGTGCGGCCTCTGGCCATGGAGGAATGTGTCTGCACCATGACGCCCACGCGGCTCCTACACAGGCCACCCTCAGTGACCGCAGGGCATGGGCTCAGGACCCTCAGATGCCAAGACTCTCGAGTTCCTGATGTGTACCCTACACATGTCCTACACACGTTAAACCATTTCTGGGTTACTTATAATACCTAATGCAATGCAAACAGCTATTACACTACATTGATTTTTTTATTTTTGTACTGTTGTTTTTTATTGTTTTTCCCCCCAAATATTTTTGATCTGCCGTTGGTTGAATTTGCAGATGCAGAACTCATGGACACAGAAGGGCAACTGAACCTGGTCTGTTAATCTGAGACTATGGAGCTAAAATTTTTTTTCGAGTAATTGAAATTAACATGACTAATTTTTTTAAAACCTCAAATTCAAAATTCAAAGATTAGGTCACGTTTCACAGCCTCCTACTTAAAACACAGGCACCATCCAACCACGAAGACGTGGTACTTGAATCACAATCCTGCGTGCTGACACCTCGCTGCCTGCCTGTGCACCTGCTCCCTCCACATGCTGACAGGGTACCCAGGCCCTTCCATTACTCGCCCATTCTGCTGAGTCGTCACTGAGAATGGGTATTTTCACCAAAATATGCACAAAAAAAGGCAGTGTTGACTGACCCCATGCAAAAGGTCTTAATGTCACACAGTGCTGGTGAAATACTAGAAATGGTAAGATGGAAGTTTTCAGAAAATACACAACTCCCGCTGGGCCTTAGCCCTATCTCACAGTTGTAGTCATCCTGGCAGAGGCCAAAGCGGTCCAGAGTTCCTTTCCCACCTTTTCTTTTTTTCCAGTGATCATTTAAAACAAGACATGACCCTCACCCTAACCACCACACCAGGGTGATGGACTAAAGAGGCAAGTGTGTAATCTGCTCAAAGCCAAGGTGGAAAGGGAACCAAACTGTAAGAGCTGACAGACCAGCTTGGATGCTGAAGTAACATATGAACCGTCCAGTTCTCATAAAAAAATAAAATAAAACAAATAAAAGCACACCTGAGGAACACCAGGTCAAAAGGACAACCTGTGGTATCCGTGGCTGCAGCCCTGCACGCCACACCCGGTCAGCTGTACTGGGACTGCCAATGCCAGGAAAGGGACAGGCCACTTTCCTTGTGTGTCAGCATGCACGGCCATGCCAGTGGCTACACCGAAGTGCTGCACCCTCAGCTGCTGAGAAGGCTTAAAAAAAAAAGCTATCTTTTTATTGTCCATATGGTAGGTAAGCAGTTTTCATTTAAGACACTGGTCCGTGGCCCGTTAGGAACTGAGCCGCACAGCAGGAGGTGCGTGGCGGGCAGAAGCCCTGCCTGCTGACAGATCAGCGCAGCACTGGGCTCCCCTAGGAGTGCAAATCCTGTGTGAACTGCACTTTGAGGCATCTGGGCTGCACACTTCTCATGAGAATCTAATGCCTGACGATCCTCCCCCTCCGAGTCCGTGAAAAACCTGTCTGCCATGAAACCAGCCCTGATGCTAAAAGGCTGGGGACCACTGTACTACACATAAGACCCGTAAAGTCCATGGTTCTGAAATCTACAAATAAATTAGTTATCTTCTGAAGAATAAAGCAATCATTTTTAAAAAGGCTACAAGAAGCCTTGTTTAGGTTTATGTTTTGGACAACATCTCTAAGGAATTTAAACAAAACAACAAAAAGAGTCTCACTATTACACTCATAGTCTAAATAGCTGAAATAACTGAATTAACCTTGCACTGTCTTCTAAAAGCGAGAGAAGCGTTATACACTCCGAAGGCACCTTATATCTAGATACTTCCTAGGACAGCACAGCCACTCTGCCCACAGCTCGACCCAGTTCCAAGGCCCTGGGGCCTCACAGTGCCACTGTACTGCATGTTCCCACTAACAGCAGGAAGAGCAGAACAGACAGACGAGCTGTGCACGGGCCGCCCAGGGCAGCTTCCCGCAGACTGTCATTCAAATCAAAACAGAACGAACCACAACCCTCAGGATGTCACCGGGAAACTTACTCGAGTTGAGTGTTTGCCGTGTTTTGGCGCTTGTGCAATAAGCTTCGATGACTTTCAGAATCTGAGCATCTTCTTCCAAAGCAGCCGTGCCTGTCAAGAGACACACAACACTTCACCAACGAACGCAAGGCCACCAGTACCACCACCGAGACACATGCAGAGGCATGACCTCAACCAAAAAGGACACGCAGATTACCTACCCCCTTTTATGATATCACAGATGGCTACTTTCTACATACGTACAACAGTTATGTTCAAAGAGGTTTTTAGTCTTTTAAAAATATCGTATCTGCAACATATCTGGAAACAGGCTAGTATTGGAATTTTTGAAGGTTATCTTACTAATCCCTAAGAAAATCAGTTGCCCCGCTCTCCAACTGGAAAAAGGGCAAGAGAGAGGAATGAGCACTTCACAGACGAACAGCCAGCAACTGTTCATCCCACTGAAATGAAACATGATCACTAACACAGCGTCTCCACATTGTCACACTCCAGTCTGACAAAAACAAGACTGACCGCTCCTGGTGCTGATGTGGGAGGGGAAAGAGGGACTTTCCACCCGCCCCGGAGCAGGAACAGGAGCAGCTCTCCGGAAGGGCAACCCGACTGTGTTTCTCAAAGGCCTTCAAAGGAGCATGAGAGCCTCCTCGGGATCTCCCGGAGACAGTTTGAAAACCCAGCCCAGAGCCCACAGACGCCATTCCAGAGTTCCTCCTTAAACTGTGGACTTACTGGACACGCGCTTCATCTGTGTCCTCAAAGGCCCAAGGACAGGATCCTCCAGACTCTCAGGTCTCCTGGCATAAACCCCAGGCCCAGCGCCCCTCCCCCAGGCGCTGAGTAAGTGCTCTACCCACTGCCGCAGGGCCTGCAGATGAGCTGCTGGCTTCCTCATGTACTTGTGTGGGTTTCTATACTAAGACAGTACTTGGATACATGTTGCAAAAGGCTAGCCTACTCTCACAAAACATGCAAGCGTATCCATGCAAGTGTATCACAGCCTCATAACAATGAGGCCTCAAGGGCATTTAAGAGTAAAACATATACGAGGCAAACCACATATTCATGAAAGCCACATATTCATGACGAGAGAGCAATTTGCAGTACCAGGAATTTAAGCGCTCCTGAGAGAAGACAGACTGCCCCTAGCTGGGACCAACCACGCCCCAGGTTCCACGGGAAGCCCACTCCTCAGGAGTGCGAGGGTGGCCGCTGAGCAGTGCGGGCTCACGAGGGGTGGGCTGCAAGGCAACGGCCTCAGGGGAGGGGCGGCCACTCTGGTCAAGGTGCCCACAGACAAGTCCAAGTGCCAACGCAGCCCACACGGGCAAGAAAGACCCCCAGGGCAGCAGGGCCCACTGGCTCCCGAAGAGAAGCGGCCATCACGGTCCAAGTCTCACCCCAGAGGCGGGATGGAGGCCCATCAGCCCGGGGCAGCACAGAGTCCCCACGCAGCGCAGACCTCCAGGACCCTGAGCATGCCCGAGGTCAAGCTCACGCACGAACCTCCACCCTGCTTCAGAGCAGGGCGGCCTGCTGAGACACGCACACAGTTCCCTGGGCAGGTGCTCATGCAAGCGTCTCTCGGCCGGCACTGAAGCGTCTCCACTACCCCTCACCCCACACCCGCAGCCTCGGCCCTGTTCCCTGCCCTCCAGGTCCACCCTGCCTCATGCTGGAAGCACTGTCTAAGCTCTGAGAGCACTCTGGAACGCTCACCCCCAGCCCAGAACTTTCCTGAGCACCAAAATCACATATCACCACCATCTGCCTTATGTTCCTCCTGGGCACAAACCTCACGCTCTGAGTATCTTCCATGGCAGTCTACAAAAGTGCCAAAAGTTGGGCCTCCACACTGGCCTAGCACACCCAGGCTAGCCTCCACACTGGCCTGGCACACCCAGCCTGACACTCCGGGCTGTCGGCTCCCCACAGCCATCAGTGGTTGTGTGAAAACCCAGGACCGCTGAGGCCTCTGTACAACTGCTGTGCTCAGAGCGCCCACATCATTTCACACACCACCTCAGACATGCCACGGGCTTTCTGCTGGGGTCCCTGTGAGCAGGTCTGGGGCACCCTGGATGTCTGCTGGGCGCACCCAGCCAGCCCCAGGCCTCTGCTCTACCAACTCGCCTGCGCCGACACCCACCCGGGCCTGCAGCACTCCATGGTGTCTCCACTTGCCACGTGTCAGCACCCTCCTCCTAACATGCGGACTCCACGAGGACGGAGCCTCTCCCTTGGCCACGCCGTGTCCCGCGCCCCGGCTCATGAAGGTGCCGAGGAAACACATGCCATGCACACGAGGGCCCTCTGCAGTCGGGTCCACGCAGCTCTGCACTGCACACAGACCTGCTGAGGAGGGCAGCCAGCGGCCTCGAGTCGAGGCCCCAAGGACCCTTCAGAGGCCACGGAGTGGTCAGCGAGCAGCAGAGCAGACCTCCGATGTCAAGTGTGGTCCTACCCATGAGACCCCCTGCTGAGAGGCTGAGGAGGGCTCTGCCAGCCAGCGTTGGACAACCCAAGGAGGGGGCAGTCTGGTGGCCACATGTGCCCTGCAAATATCAGGGACAGAATGAGAAGTGGACCCCTGTGCAGTCGAGGAGGCCGCCACCTCACGAGCTCTCTGATTTGCTGCTGCTAGCAGGAGGTGAGGGCAAGACCACAGGGATGCCATGGCAACCACGGTGGGCGGGCCCAGCTGCCGCCTTCCCTGAGGAGCCAGCAACACCCAAGCTCCGACTACAGACAGCTCTCCCACCAGCTTTCTTTCGGAAGCGAAGCCCTGAAGGGTCCCAGGGTATGCAGGGTGAAGGGGGAGCGGAACCCAGTCTCAAGGACTTGCACAGGCCTCTCACGGCACAGGGGGTGCCACCCGCCGAGCCCCTTGCCCTGAGAAGGGAGTAGGGGGCACAGCCCGCAGGGCACACCCCATACTCCGAGTGAGGCTGGCCCACCTGGCACGGGAAACGTGTCCCCAATGCCCAGCAGCCTCAGCAGGCTGTGCCCAGTGCCCTGCCCAGCAGACAGCCGGGAAGAGCCGACACCATGGCCACGGGCCCGGGAGGGCAGCGAACCGCCCCGATCGCCTGCCTTGGCACAGCTCCCCTTGCTCATCCGCGTCAGCTGAGCCCCGGGGGGAAGGAGCTGGAGGCAGGACCCCAGGGCTGCCCGTGAGAGCCCAGGCCTAAGGCACAGCCTGGCTCCTGCACCGGCTGAGGACCGAGCTCCAGGGTGGCATGTGCTGAACCAGAGCGGAAGGAAGGGAGGACCAGGTCCACGCGCCATGGCTGGTGGTGAGCACACCCTCCCGCTCGCGGGGGACTCTGAGAGCTTGTTTCTGTCACCGCTGCAAGGTGAGGACCCTGCTTTCGCCTCCCAACCTCCCTCAGCCCTGCAGAAACCAAGAGGACGCGTTGTCCTCACTTTTCCGAGGGGTCTCAGCGGGTGGCACCCGAGGCACTCACTTTTCCGTAAGGCGAACTCTTCGTCAGAAGGTTTCCGCTCAGGTTTCCGCTTAGGCAGCAGCTTTTTCATGGTCTTGGGACTCTTACTGAGATCCTGGGAACAGAAGAAAAAAATACTGGCATGCTCTGAAGTCACTCACGTGCACTGGGCTACCAGAAAGGGCTGCTGAGAAGGTGTCAAACACACAACGGCTGCACCCACGGTCAAGCGCCTCCTACTTCCTGCAGACTTGGATTTTTCCTTGCCAGCTGTTGAACAGTCATTTAAAATCAACAGGGCACTTCCCGCATTAGTCACCGGTTAGTATCTCTTCTTGGTTGATAAAAGCCCTGGTGTGACCTGGATCCTGCTAGTTTCGTCACAGCAGAGGTGTTGCCAGCAGACAGGCTGGCAGCATCTGGAGAGGAGACAGGGAAGCAGAGACATCCAGGCACACGAGGGCGAGGACCAGGCAGACCCATCCGTACAGCTAAACAAACAGAGATGAGGAGACTCGGGCCATTCTTAAAAGGCAGAGAAGTACAAAGCAACTCCTGTAGGAAGACATCTGAAGAAAAGGGAGGGAGCGACCAGCTCGCCGGCTTTGGGTCCCAAGGAACCTGGCACCCGAGCCCTGGCACCATGTGCTTGGCGGGTGGCATGTCCACACCAACTCAGAGCATGTTCACCACAGATGGTCTACACCGCACTTCTCAAGAGGGCTCGCGAAGAAGCACAGAAGATGAAGGTGGAAGCGAGGTGAGCAAGAGAGAGCCCGCCGGGGCAGGCGAGGTGGCAACAGTGGAGCACATCTGAAACACCAAGATCAAAAAAGAACTCCTGCACCAGTTCAGCTGCATAAACCACCCGTGAACCTGATGTGGGAAACCAAGACTCAGAGGGTGACACGCACTACGGAAGGAACTCCAGTGAAAAGAGAGGAACAGAGCTTGGGTTTTACAGTTACCTTACAGAAATAAAAATGTAAGAAGCGCCTGAAAATGCAGCAGAAACCAGCTCCGGAAGAAACACACACGTACCCTATGACTTCCCCAATTCAAAGCAAGTCGAGAGGAAGACCCCGTGAGCCAACACCACCCGCCCCACCCAGAGGGCCCTGCGCTCCAGAGCCTCCTGGCCACACACCGAGCCCAGTCCCACAGAGGGGAGGAGCAGCAGCTGCCACGGGCCACCATCTCTGTCCCCCGCACCCACGGAACCCCGCTTCCCTCCACGCTCCGGGGTGCTTGCTACACTGGCCAGGAAGCTTTCCTCCCCATGGCATCTGCCAGCGTGCACGGCCAGACTCGTCCTCGTCAGAGTCAGTCTAGGTAAAAGTGTAGGAAACTGCCAATACTTATTCATGGATAAGAAATGTCTTATAAGTGCACCTAACAAACACGAAAATACTGGATTTGAACGGAGACGGACACGGAGTGCACTGGGATTCTGGCACGCCCAAGGGGGCGCTGTCTCAAATAATTCTTCTCATTTTTATCTGCACAGGTTCTCTTCATCTCAAATAGCTTCTGGTGACAAAACATGGGCTCCTGGCCAGGAATTTCGGACTTAGAAAGTCAGAAGACACAGCTGAACAGCAGATAGAAATAAAACGAGGCCACTCACGAGATGGGAGGCAGTCACTGCCGGCACCGTGCGGTCCCAGACCCCCGCTCGGACAACACGCCTCAGGCAGGCAGGAAGAGTCCCGCAAGTGGCAGGGAGGCTGGCACACAGCAGCACTGCCCGCGCCGGCCACTGAGGCCTTGGACCTTACGGCAGCAGCGGGGATGGCAGGGGACAAGGGCAGCCCCTCCCTCAGGGCTCAGAGGACCAGGCCTGTCTTCCACGACGGCAGAAGGCCCGGCCCAGCCCCACAGCCGCAAGGCACGCTCACCACCACCGGGCCGTGCGAGCGAGGACCTCACCTCCTTGTAGCAGAGAGCAGCCGAGGGCCGGAGGGGCGGAGCAGGCCGCAGGCAACTCAGGCTCCAAGGCTTGGGCGTTTTTGGCGGCTCCAGGGGTCCCCAGCTGATGGTGGTGTGCGGGGTGCCGTGGTGGGAGGGGTGGGGGAGCGTGTGGTAGGCGGGCGTCAGCGGCGCGGGCTTGCTGTCCGCGTGCTTGCTGGATGGTGTGACCGCGTGGGAGGGCAGCTGCCGGGCACAGAGGGAAGAGCAGAGACAGACCATGAGGCTCCGGGACCCCACGGGAGGACCCCGAACATTTGCTGCGCCTGGGCTTTCAAAACACCCACAGGGTAGCCAGCCCCAGGCTGGAACTCCTCCTCATCGACCTCCGATGCTCAGCCAGCAGTCTCTGGGCCGAGGCGACCCTGCGGAGTGTGGGGCTCCCTCGCCATCTGCTCCGTGTGGGGGCCCGACCCTTGGACACACCGCCAGTCACATTTCACAGCAGAGTCACTCTCGGAAGAAGGCGTTTCATCTCATCTAAGTGTCCGAGTCATACGCGAGGACGGGCGTCCCCTGGAGTGTGGACTGCAGGGAGGCAAGTCTCCCAGCCACGTCCTGTCACCTAGCACTGAAGCAGCGGGCAGGCCAGGGCTGACTGCTAGCTTTGTCCCGGCAAACACAAAGCTGACTCCTGTCCACAGCGGCACTCGTGTCACAAGGGCAAAACAGAGTTGCAACAGAGGCCTGAAAAGCAGCAAGTGTTTACCATCTGGCCCTTTACAGAAAACTGCCAAACCCTGGATAAAAAGGGATTTCCTTGGAAAACTCCACTTCAATCAAAACAAAGCTATTCAAAATCTAACTCCTACAAGGAGTGTGTTATTAATGAGGCTTATATTCCTGGAAAACCACAAAATAGCCCATCGCCCACTGACACTTAAGAGAGCAAAGTTAAAGAAGTAACCCTCAAAATTAGCCAAGGATCACCATGAGGCCACACGAGCCAGGCATGGGAGGATGGCCGTGAACAACTGTGACCTGAAGGCCTGGGTGAGGTCGCCACGCTAAGGTGTGAGTGACGTCAGAAACCCAGGCTGGAGCAGAGTCCTCCGGCGGCAAGTGCCATAGCTGCAGGAACAGAAGCAATCGCTTCTACAGGGTCATGGCCTCGCCCCCGCATGGGGTAGGGCGTGTGGGACCCGTGTCGCGCTATACACATGACATCACAATGGCGTCCACCTAAACCACTTTTCTCCTTGCAGTCATGGCTTGTAATGTTCGGTTTGGTTTCTCCTCACTTGAAACAGTCAAAAAAGGTATGCTTTCTTACTGTCTGAAGAGTTCTAAATAACATCAAAGTTCTGTCGTATCTTGTATACTATGTAGTTTCAAAATTAAATATAGCCTTAAAGCAAATTTTTTTTTTAAAAAGGTGTGCTTTCTGCTAAAATCAGACCATGATTCAAGCTGGACAGAGCTGGCTCCCAGGGCAAACACGTAATGCCACGAGAGATGCTCCCTAGAAGAACTCAGGACATCTCACACATGAGGCGCAGTGCTCTCCACACAGAGAGACTCCTTCCCAGCTGCCAGTGGCATGAAGGGAGACACTGAGGTGTGGGGTCTGGCCGCGGAGAAAAGTTGACTACAGGAAATTCTTTAGTCCGGCTGCAGGTTAGTACTAAAAACCTGAACATCCACAGTTCTTATAAACACAGACCCAAGAACACACATACATCCTGGGGACAAACTTAGTTCCATGAAAACTAAGTGACTTCAAAATTTTTTAAAGAACAGGCAAATTATAAATGGTAGAGCCACTCAAAATAAAATGTCAGCTAAAGCAAATGACAGTTTTACCCTTTCCTAACAGCTGAGTGCAATGGAGGCCCTAAAACTGATCAGAAGATTCTACCACAGTGATCCTTCCTGGGCAAAAGCATTAACATGAGGACAACAAATGAAAAGATGGATGTCGCAGAGGAAGCTAGCCCAACAGTCTGCTACAATGTGAGGAAATGCCTGTGCAACCGTAACAGCTCTTCAAAAGATTCACTCAGGTTTCCAGTATTGCTTGATAAAGACAATGAATGTTGAAATAGCTCAGTATCAATTTCTTGAGCACAAAACACCAGAACAGAGAGGCTTAAACTCTGAAACTTCAGTGTTGAATTCTTTTGAAATGTTATAAGCCTCTCAAGACGCCAAAGAGTTGTTGAGCTTTTCTAAGTAGGAGATAAATCTTCTAAGTAAAAGATAAATGAATTTCTTGAAGTCAAAACAACGAGTCATACACTATATTCTAATGCCTTCTATGTGGAACTGGCCCTCTTCATCAATCATGTTTTTAAAAAAATGAAACACAGGAAACCCAGTTACAATTCTCAGAAAAGTCATCCTGGGGGGTTAGTGTCAAACCCCACCGAGCTGGTCTCCAGGGGACACATGCGCCTCCCACTGTGTGTCCCTGACCGGCGCCAGACGCGGAGTCAGGGCTCTTCCCAAAAACCATCCTGGCGATGATTCACCACTAGCTGGAAAGGCCCGAACATGTGCGAGAAGCAGGAAGCCAGTGCTCCGCATTCCCAGCTACACTCTCAGGCACCTGACCACTTGCCACGGCTCAGCGCCGGCTGCCATCGCCAGTCTGAGAGGGCATGGCAGGTCCTTACGGTGTGGGACGGCACGGAGTGCGGCTTGATGGTGGGGTTCCCCACAGACGTGACTTTCGTCTGCTTCTGGAGGTGGTCCACCCACTCGTGTAGATCCTGCTGGCTGCTGCATGACACTAATATCCGCTCGATCATGCTCCCTGCAAGAGACAAGGAGGAAACAGACGAAGTGGAAACACAGCAGAGTGCACGCCACGCCACACCCCCAGAATGCCACTCCACCACGCCTCAACACGCCTGTGAGCACGCAAGTGAGATTCCGCACGTGGGGACAAGCTGCCCGTCCCCTGACACACACAGCATGCACACAGCTTGTGCCTGTCACCTGATATTTCAAAGGCATTTCTATGATTTTCACTGTCCTCAAGCTTTGTGATTGTCATTCCTGTCGTGGGTAGCTTTCCCTAAAAAAGACCCCCCCCCAAAAAAAAAAAAACGATTAGTGCTTTTCCACCAAAAAAAGATACCATCATTAAAGTAAATATTCGGCAATTTTAGGACTGGCAAAGGAACTGGGCTTATGAACCAAAAGAACTTTTTTTAGCAAGTGCAGCTCTACATGGTCTGACAATTAAGTTTGCGAACTTGCCACCACACATTTGTGCTAGCAGCATTGTACAAACAGCTCGGTAAGGCTTCATGACCCTGGCGTGTCAGAGTCTCACAGCTATGTTCATGTGGAGGGATGTGTGCTGGCATCTTGCTGAACGGCATTCACCACTGGTGCTGCAGGTTTTTGCGTGCCATCACGACAATGCTGGAGCTTGAGTTAGAGCCACAAACAAACATTAAATTGCTAGTTGAATTTTGCAAGAGTGGAAGTGAAATCCGGGACGTGTTGGTCCAAGTTTATGGGGATAAAGCCATGAAGAAATACATTGCACAAATGGATGAAATGTTGTTCTGAGGGGAGAGAAAGCAGCACTGATGAAGAGAGGTCAAATCAGGATGGCCAGTGACAGGCAGAACTGACAAAAACACTGCAAAAATTCATCAAATTGTGTATCAAAATTGTTGGCTGACTGTGGGAAGCACAGAAGACCAAATAAACACCGATGGAGAAACAGGAAGATCCTAAGTGCAAAGCTTGGCACAAGAAAGGCGCGTGCAAAAAACGGTCCCGAAGGAGCTCTTGCATCAGGACCACGCACCAGCCCACATAGCCCTGTCTGCGAGGGGATTTTCAGCCAGTAAACTGCATCAGAATAACTGCATCGGAATGCCCTCCCTGCTCACCTGACCCCCAATGACTTTTTCTTTACCCCAAAATAAAGGAAATATTGACAGGAAGACACTTTGATGACATTCAGGACATCAAGGGTAATACAATGACAGCTCTGATGGCCATCCCAGAAAGAGAGCTCCAAAACCGCTTTGACAGGTGGACTAGATGCTGGCGTCAGCGCATAGTTTCATAGCTTCCCAAGGGGGGTACTCTGAAGGTGACTGCGATGATACCCAGCAATGACGTATGCAGCACTTTGTCTAAGACGAGTTTGCGAACTTAACTGTCAGACCCATAATACTTTATAAAAGCTCTGTTTCAAATAAGAAAGCATGACACTGTACTGTAAACAGGAAACTGAACTGGCAAAAAGATGCAGAATACCAAACCAGAACAAAAGCCTCAAATAAACGTCAACATCTGACACACAAACATTACGCATCATGATTTTATTTTATTTTATTGACTGATTGATTGAAGGTAGGAAAGCAAGATTTATTGAGAGGACAGAATGCTCCCACAGTGGGAGGGGACCCAAGGGGGTTTTAAAAATGTTAAGCAGGTATCAGCTGTTTTAATTGACGTCTTTATAGAAAATAAACAAGTGCTAGCCTCATAAAAAATGCAGAGCGGTTCCCTTCTAGCTGCAGAAGGCAAAACAAGGATGGGAGACAGGCTGGAACAGGACTGGATAACAATTTCACTCTGTCGTCTAGTAAGCAGAAAATAAGCCATTGAGGCATAAGGCTGCACACGGTGCAGGAGGCTGCGGGCAAACCCGCCCTCCTCCCCCGGGTGGAACAAACTGGTCCCTCAGAGAGGAAGTGTCAATGGAGAGAAACCAGAAGGGGATGCAAAGTGACCATCACAAACAAAGCAGAACTGAACACAAGCTCCCCTGGCCCTGCAGCACGCCCTTGGGAAAGTCTAGGGAGTCTGGGGCCGAATTGTCTGTGAACAACTTCAGAGGTGCTGATGGAATTCCACTAGCCAGGGAGCAGAACTCCACCAGCACCTCTGAAAGCAGAGCCTCTCAACATGTAGGGAATGTGTCTCCCACAACCTGGTGGGGCTCCTGATAGCCAGTAGTAGAGGCCAGAGGCTGCTGACATCCTACAGTGAGCACGACGGTCTCCCCACAGACTCCAGCCTCAGGACCAAAATGTCAGCAGGGCCGAGGCTGAGAACCCATCACCGTATGGCAGGTAGACTAGCAGGCTCTTGACACTTCCATGGCCAAGTGTATTTGAAAAAATGCTACATACTGTGTATTGCTTTCCAAGATTCATAGCACATACGAGTATTTCAATAGTTTTGAAAAGTCCTATAGAAAATAAAACTAAGGACTGGGTGTGATAGCTCACACCTGCAACCCCAGCACTTTGGGAGACTAAGAGTGAGACCAGCCTGGGCATCACAGTGAGAACCCATCTCTCCACAAAATTTTAACAGATTTAAAAAATTAGTCAGGGGTGGAGGCATGCACTTGTAATCCCAGCACACTGGGAGGTCGAGGCAGGAAGACTGCTTGAGGCCAGTTCAAGACCAGCCTGGGCAACATAGTGATAATAGTGATACCCTATAGCTCTACAAAACTGTAAGTGTGCCTAACCCAGCACATCTTAAGATCAGCAAATACAACACAAGTATGTTGCTGGACCTCACATTGCTGAATACCCCCTCAAAGCCAGGGTTCTTCTAGCTGCAGAAATGGCTGCTGACAACACACAGACCATGCGTCACCACAGTCTGGGAGAAGAACTCCCAGGAAATGGAGCCAAGAATGCGAAACGCAAACCCTGCTGTTGGGATGTGGTCTCCAGCGCACGTCAACATGTCAAGGGCACATGTGCAAGCGCCAGGCACAGGCAGGGCCTACGCATCTGCAGGCAGCACCCTCTTGTCCCTTAGGTCAGAGTAAGCCCCGTCTTCAGTCAACGGTATGACACTCCCGGGATATAAAACACGAAGCCAGTGCTGACAGAGAGGACTCAGGTCACCTGGGGGATCCTCACAAGTACCACCTCTCCTCGGCAGAGGCTGGGCAGAGGAAGGCCAGGGTTTCCTGTGGTGACTCCATGTATCTGCTCTACCTGCTTCCAAGGGCTCCTTTTGGAATGGCCATGAAATGACACCCTCTGAGGGTGGACACAGCCTTCTGTGGGGATGCAAGGAAGCCATGTCTACACAGGACTGGGATCCTCTCACACTCTCGCTGGGGACAATACGTGACAGTGCGGCTTCGAAGAAACGCACTCAGGATGACACACAATGGTGACTGCTGTGGCAGCAGAATCTAGTGACTAGCCAGTCCCCAAGGAACTGGTGGAAGGGCCCAGCTGCTGCAACTTCACAGAAAAAAACACGGAACCCTGCCAAGGGCACGGGGCAGATGCACAGGAAGTCAGAAACTGCTTCTGCCTCCACCAGGGACCAGTCTAGCCACAGAAGAGACCTGGCCTGCACCTCCTCCTCCAGTTAGCTCTCCCAGTTTCTCAGAGAAAGGCAGCGAAATGAGTGAAAAGGCTAAACGCCACGTATCTGCTTGCATCACTTCGTGTCTGCCAGTATACCTGGGTGGTGCTGGGCCACATACAGATCTCAGCCTGCATGAGCCCACGACCCAGGACCTCTGGTAGGCCCATTTTGCAAAAGAGAAAACCACATCTCAGGGAAAGATGCAAGGTTCTGTGCACAAAATGGCATAAGGCAGTAACAGAGACGGACGTGCAGCCCAGGAAAACGGACATGCCTTTCCTTCTTGTTTAGTTAGAATTGGCACGGGTCCTGCCTGCATAGTCAAACTGAAGCACAAACATAAGCAGCACATCCATGTCTGAATACATTACACTACACATACAACACCACACACAGCACACACAGATACATCCACTCTTCAACACACAACTCAAAACCAGCCTAAAGGTGATTCTCAGATCCACAATCAACAAGAAAATATAAATTTAAAATGTGTTTTACCTGATAGATAAAACCACTCATCCTAGGACTGGCAGACAACATTAGCAAAATATTTGGGAAGAGTAGAAGATATCTTTCATTCTTTTCCTAATACAAAAAAAAAAAGCAATAATTTTTTAAAAAACATCTACTTACAAACATGAGCATAAATATGTTAGGCCCTATGAGACATTATTATATTCCCTCTTTAAGCATTTCTATCAAATTTTATTAGGTAAATTAAATAGAAACAAAATTATGATAAAGTTCTATATTAAATTTTAACATATAAGTAAGAGAGTGCTTTAACATATAGGTAGAGATGAATTGCAGAATTAAAAAAAAAAGATAAGAAAGAAAACTGGATGATTAAAAGATCCTGGATTCACAAGTAGCCTGTGTAACATCTTTTAAAAAACTGGTTAAAAAGTTCAGCTCTGCAATTAACTGTTGTTAGTTCATCTAAAACTTTCTTTTTGAATTGAGAGAAAAGGAACCTGGAAAATTTTGGTGAGGGGGATGGGGAATAGGTAGAGCCTTTGAAGCTAAAGGAAGAAAAGGAGAAATGTTAAGACCAAATTTGGTCTTTCCTGGCACTTCCCTAAACTTGCCAAATGTCAATTCAATGTTGTTTTCATCCATCCCATCAACTTCACCTGGTTTATATGAAAGACTTACAGCCATTACTTATGCATTAAAAACCATCTGCTAGCTGGGCTCGGTAGCTCAGCCTGTAATACCACGCCTCTGGGAGGCTGAGGTGAGTGGACTGCCTGAGCCCACGGGTTCGAGACCCGCCTGGGCAGGCGAGACCTCATCTCTACAATAAAATCAAAAAATTAGCCAGGCGTGGTAGCGTGCGCCTGTACTTCTGGCTACTCGGAAGGCTGAGGCGGAAGGATCGCCGGAGCCCAGCAGGTCGAGGCTGCGGTGGCCGGGAGCGGCCACTGCACTCCAGTCTGGGCGGCAGAGTGAGACTCCAACTCAAAAAAAAACAAAAACAAAAAACCATCTGCTTCAGTAAAATAACAAAAGCCAGAGAGACTACAACTAAAAGACAAAAATTCCCCAAGAATGTAAAAAGAGACCCAGAAATGCCAGATGGTCCTCTGTGCATGCTGACATTTAAACCACTGTCCAAACAGTAAAATAAATCCTAGGACATAGTTTCCCCAAACATAGTCCTCAGAGCACAGACCTACACCAAGGACCTTGAAAAAGCTTCCACACATCGAAGCAGTCATCGGGGACGTACTATGTTCCCTTGGAGATGCACGACACAGGTGGGGAACGTCTGCACCAAGACTCCGAGTTCTAACATCAAGAAATATTTCTGCTGCCTATGCTCTTTCCCATCATGGTGAGAACTTTGAATCGTTTTTGGAGTAACACCTACCAAAGTCACACAGATCTAGTATTATAAAGAACACACTCTGGGAAATACTTCCATAGAGTTACTTTAAATGAAGTTTTTAAAAAGCACATGATTAAGAAATAAACTGATTCTGGAAAACCCGGGGCTGTCTGATCAATGCAGTGAATAAGAAAAGTCATGGTTTCTTATGATACCCAAATTATAAGACTTCAGTACATAGAGGGGGTGGCACTTAAATTTTATAGGTAAGAAGGAAGAAACATTGTGAGTATTAACTTTCAGCGTTCTTATTCTCCTAAGAGTTTCACGTTTGAAATGGGTCATTAGCACATCTGATGATGTTAATTATTTGTCCAAAGGCAGAACAAAATTCAAAAAGTGGGACCTGCTTAGTGGCTCAATGAACACATTCTAACGTGGACTGTGAAACAAACTTCCCAGTGTTCGCTATGTGGAGATCTCACAAATCTCAGATTGGACCTCTCACTAGCCAAAAGCCCACGAGAAAACTGAGGATCTCATAAGCAAATGCCAACTAGCAACATGAGGAGAAGAGTAGGAAGACCCAGGATCACTGAAACAGATTCCTGAGAGTGAAAGGCTTGGCACGAACCCACCAGCAGGCGAGCACACGCACCTCTGTATGCAGAGGCTCCGTGAATCCCGTCCAGACACCACCCGGTCCACGCAGGATTCCCGCCACACTGAGCTCAGCGGGACCCAGACTGGCCACAGTCCACGCTCAGCGCTCAGTCTCCCTCTCTAGTGGCCACAGCCCCTTCTGTATCTGTCAAGGATAAAAACTAGATCCCAAATGATGACAGAGACAGAATTCCTGTGAGATCTTGTCATCGCTGGAGGAACCTTTAACGTCTTGTGTGGCAAGATCCCAAGTGGGACAGAACCACGCGGCGTGCACAGGATGGCAGTACCTCACTCCCCGCACACTGGATCAGGACCTGGGACATGTAAATGACGTTGCCCAGGGTTTTGATGTCATCTCCCTCCCAGCTCCGGATGGCTTCCGTCAGGATCTGCAGCTCAAGCTCTTTCCTCTTCCGGACGTCCTGACACTGGGCCTGAGAGACCAGAACAGCGCTGTCAAGGGAGACAAACTTCCAGAGCCTTGCACTCTGGCCACATTGCTTTTTGTGCCTTACTTCTTAAGACACATAATCTATTGAACAAGTTACTCAATTGTATGGATTTAAAAGTATTTGGTTGAAAGGATGGAATCAAGTCAAGACAAGCAACACACACAACCGCCGTGGAACACTAAATGCCACTTCAGAAAAATTCAGATTTTGCCACTTTTAAGAAGAAATGAAGACTGTACTAGAAAAAGATGTCTGTTCTGGTTTTACTAGTGTGTGCCAATGTAGAAGACTGCGAAGAGAAAAAAGGGGGAGTGTAACTTGTACTGTAAACAAGGCACATGTTCCAAAAACACACTGGAGTGATAGCATGACAGGAGACGCAACGGACTCCAGTGTCCATTTCATAATTCAGCACAAGAGACACTGGGCAGAGGCAAAGAAAATGCTCTAAGTAACTACAAAGTAGCCCTGACAGCAATTATGTTGTCTCTTCAAAACTCACTCACGGTGTCACTTTTCTAGTGTCACTAGGCCACTAAAGCAAGGGAGTTTATCAGCCACGGGATGCCTACTGTCTATTTTCATTTCATCTGAGTCAACACTGAATTCACACATAAGTTTCCATCATCTGACTTTCAGTTGCTAACTCTTCTACAGTCATTTGCCACACGATGTCTGGGGGTAAAATTCATAATACATCACTTACGGAAAGGTTTTTGAAGGCAGTCATGGATTTCTGAATATCTTGTCTATCAGTGTGATAATCCTTTGAATAAAGAAATGCACCGTCAGCTTTCACAATGACAAGGCTTCCTTCAGAGAGTGCCCCATTCCCCAGCCTGAAGCCCTCCCGAGGCCCTCCGGCCCGGAAGTGCCAGTCGGCAGTCTTCCAGCCCTCTCGGCCCTTCGGTCATCAGCGGACTTGGGGAAAACATAATTTGGGAGAGAACAGCCAAATGACGTTTGGTGTCTAGTCCACTGGGTTTTTCCGCACACTGCCACACCGCGGCTCTCCCTTACAGAAAAGACTCACAACCTGCCATTCAAACTCTCCTTTACTATCATTCCTCTGTAGCCTGGGCCCTCGTGGCAGGGAGCAGATGGTCCCGACACGACACCTCAACACTAAGAACAATCAGTTTCCACCTCTGGCTTTGGAAGTGGTCTGAGCCGCGGCGGCGGTGAAAGGTGGGGCGAAAGGCAGGCGCCTTTTCAGGGCAGAAGTCAGGAGCCAGGACTCTGTGTTGAACCACATCGCTTCGGAAGTCCCCAGTGAAAGCTCCTGGCAGCTCTTGGCGCGCCCTGGCCTCTGCTCTGCACTGCCCCTGCGACAAGGACAGGCGTACCTCCATGTGCCTCTCGAGCTCCTTGAGCAGCGTGGGGTACTTGTCCAGGCGCATGAAGGGCTTGCTGAGGCCTGTCGTCAGCACGAGGATCCCAGGGCTGCTGGCACCTCTGGTCTCCATGAACTCGCCCAGCTCCTCACTGCGAGAGAAACACTCGTGGTTAGGGGCAGAGAGGCCATTGCTGGCTGACCTGCAGGTCCTATGGAGCCCAGGAGTGCTGCTGGGATCTTTGAGAGGCTCCAGCTTTTACAGATAAGCCTGGACTGACTGTCTGGAAACGCCAGAGGGGACCCACAAGGCCTCTGCTACGACTCTCACGTGAGCGGCAGGAAGTGCACAGCGAAGCACGTGCAGTCTCCATGTGGCCACCCGAGAAGGCCCTCTCGCATGGCAAGCCCTCATCCCGCAGATGGGTCCGATGTCAGCACAGTGTCTCAGAGTGGGGATGAACTTTCCAGCTACCTCGGGATGTCAGGCTACTAGGAACCAGGGCCGCACTGTGCAAAGAGAGGTGTCTTAGCAGCACACGCACTGAGAGCCTGAGCCCAGGGCCGGCTGGTCCAGCACCCACGCCCAGCACAGCTCGAGCAGGTCAGGCCCCAGCCTCCTGGTCCAGCCAACACGCCCAGCACTGCCAGGTAACAGGTCCTGGCCCCATTCTCCTGGTTCAGCCAACACGCCCAGCACTGCCAGGAGGTCTGGCCTGGCCTGATGCACATCCAACACAGCGTGACAGTAGAAGGAAGGCGCGCTCAAGTGCAGAGACTGATCCTCACAAAGTGCAGACCAGGAAACCGAGTGCGTGCTCAGAAATGGAAGAGAGCCACACGCCTCAAGGACATCCTGCTCCCCCTTCACTGCCACCTTCACCACTTCAACAGCCGCCCACCCCCCGAGTCCTCACCTCCTCCCTCGGAGCTGCCACAGCCACAGCAGGAAGGATGCAGGGGGACTGCCGGGGGTCCCAGCTCCGTCACCAACACGCCTGTGACCACAGACCATCACCCACCTCCATGGCTCTCTCGCAGAACAGGCGCTCTCTAAGGTCTTGGCTGGGCCCCGGGTCTGCCATCCCCACGCTGTGTGTCATTGTTCCAGAAATCTGACACGATGTGGCCAAACCAGCAGGTGGGAGGAGAGGCAGCACCAGCTCAGACAGCCCACGTCATGTCCAGGAGACCAGGGTGAGCCCTCAGCCACCATACCCTGCCCCAGGAGACCAGGGGTGTCTGGTCAGCAGAGCTAGGTTCAAACGACACCCAAGCCACTCATCCTAGGAAACAACTATTCCTAGCCTAGAGGTTTATCCTTAATAGGAAAAAAGACGTATGCCCTTGGTAGTGTATAAATGATTCCCTAAAATAAATATGAAAATCCTAACAGAGAACCTGAAAAGCATGCTGGTCCTCAGTTTCAGTCTCACGAGAGCCGCAGGGAACCTCCGGCCAGCCTCCCAGCCCACCACGCTGACCACCCCCTGAGCTTCAGGGATACCAGACCCAGCAGGGCTCCCGGCGAGATTACAGACATTTAGGCCAGGCCGGAGGAAGCTGCAAGTTCAACAGTGAATACTGACAGCTTCAGGCAGCTCCGCCTAAAAGCAGCTGCCTGTGGGGAGGAGAGCTCCGGCTGGGGCCGCCACCCATCAGGGTCCACAGTCACCTGCCGAGACAGCCCGGACACCGCACTCAGCTACACCAGCTCAGAAGCAGGAGGCTTCACCGTCAGGCCGGACGCTCCTGGACCCCGAAAGAGCCTAGGCTCCCCCGCACAGGAAGCTTGAGACGACCACAGTCATCCAAACGCTTGCTAGGACACCGGGTTGTGGCGAGGCCAGCATGTTCCTGCCCCACGTGAAAACACAGCAGTGGTGTGGGCCACAGCCTGTTCTGTCTCTCTACTCACACCCATAAGAAATCAGTCTTTTTTCTCTCTGAGTCAGTTCTCTGCCACGCAGGCTGAAGTGCAGTGGCACAGCCACGGCTCACCACAGCCACCAACTGCTAGGCTGCTACTCAGGCTCTGGAGTATCTGGGACCAAAGGTGTTGCCACCATGCCTGGCTGATTTTTTGTAGAGAAAAGGCCTCACTATGCTGCCCAGGTTGGTCTCGAACTCCTGAACTCAAGTGAACTCCTGAACTCAAGTGATCTTCCCACCTCAATCTCCCAATCTCTGGGATTACAGGCATGAGCCACCACACCCAGCTGAAAATCAGTCTTTTAAATGAACACATATATATGCACATTTAAGAGGTATAATCAAAACCAAAGCAAATTATATAAAAGGGAGGTATTTCACATAATCCAGTAATACAAAGTAACACAAATAACCAACATTTCCTCCATTCTGTATACAGTGGGTACTAAAAAAAAGCATACATGTTTTAAGAAAGGAAAAAACTATATTAAAACTGTAATATTCTCAAAAGACACCTGCACGTGCATGTTTATTGCAGCATCATTCACAACAGTAAAAACATGGAACCAACCATGCTGCTCATCAAAAAGGACTGGATAAAATAAATGTGGTACATATACATGAAGGACTATTATGCACTCATAAAGAAGGACAAAATTATGAACTTCACAGCAACTTGAATGGACTGAGAGTCTATAATACTGAGGGATGCATCATAGAAACAAAGATCTGAGTACCATATGTTCTCACTCATGAGCGGACCTTGAACAATTATTGTAATACTATAAGAAAAGAATTATGCTGGGTTCAGTGGCTCAGGCTGTAATCCCACACCTTGGGAGACTGAGGTGAGTGGATTGCCTGAGCCCGCGGATTCAAGACCCACCTGGACAACTTAGTAAGACCTCATCTCTACAATAAATCAAAAAATTAACCGGGCGTGGTAGCACACGCCTGTAGTTCCAGCTACTCAGAAGGTTGAGGCGGAAGGTTCGCCGGAGGCCAGCAGGTCGAGGCTGCGGTGGCCAGGAGCAGCCACTGCACTTCAGTCTGGGCAACAGAGTGAGACTCCAACTCAAAAAAAAAAAAAAAAAAAGGGGGGGGTAATACTCAATAGGTACTGATAACCAAGAATGAATTTTGCTTGTGTTTGACTTCTGCAATTATAAGAGGTGCTCAAAGTGGCTCCCATCAGCATCCAGACACTTCTGATCACAGCAAACACCTCATAACGTCACTTAAAATATGTATACGTTTTTTGGCACCCCCGTATAAGGCTTCATAATTATTTTACTCCTGTGAGATAGGCCATCATGGTGACGCTATTTTAAAAAATCTTTAGCACAGAAACTATCGGAGCAGCTCCAGGTGTGGCATGTGCTTTCATCAGCAACACACACTATCTCCCGTCTCCATGTCTATGCCTCTGGGTTTTCTGGAGCCTGGGGCTTGGGATTACGCACAGGGCACAGAGCCATACTCTGGAGGCTGCAGGACGGAAGCACCACAGCAGCACCAGGTGCCTGAGCACATGCTGCTCCCGGCTCCGCCTCCACACACACCTCCCCACGCTGTGCTCAGCACCCACCTTCCCCTGGCCCACCTTCCCCAGCCATGCAGCAGGCCCGGTCTCATAAAATAAAGTCTGATCATACGGAAAGTCACTTCAACTTCTGTACATACAATCCATGCACGAACATTCCCACCAAGAGAAGAACCCAGCAAAGCCTATCCTGGTCATCACTGTATTTCATAGTCATGTGTGAATCTTCCTAACTATGATGACAGCAGAGAGAAATCAGCAAATCCAAGCACAGTTACCCGCATTACCACCCCTCCAAGAAGCCCCAAAACTAAAAACACAAAATGTTTGCAAGCAAAACTACCTTCCCGTGATACCCACACAGCATTCTTATAATGCCAGAACATAGGCACAGTTAAGAAAGGAAACAGAACTTTATAAACTGTTATAGTTTCATTTTGAAGCTTTAAAAAAAAACTAGTGCCACAATAAAACAAACCATCTAGTTACAGCTGCTTTGACAAGACAATGGCTTTCAGCCTAGTTCCTAGGACGCCAGCAGCCCTCACCCAGGATGTGGTCCTGTCCTTCCGACACAGCCGTGGGTAGGAGGCGGCGACAAACCACATGCAAGGACCTCCACACAGGCACAAAGAAAGGACAAGCTGCTGGGAAAGGGCCGTCTTCGTGGAGGACATGACGAAACCCACGGTTCATTCAAAACTGCCCCCCCGGACAAACGACATCACAACCACATGGTGACACAGAAAGGGTGGCTCAGGCACAACTCGGGGGGGGGGGGGTCCCGCATATCCAAGTTCACGCTCCCAACCTACACACCACACAAGCCCCACAGGGACGCACACAAGACTTCTGAGCTCCCACGCTACACTCAGTCAACCCTGAAACGACCCCAGCGCATCCCAGATGAGCCCACCTGCGGGTGTGGCTTTAGGTGTGAACAATGTAGGACAGGAGGAGAGAAGTTACAGTTTAAGAACCTATGTCTAGCTGGACTCAGTGGCTCAGCCTGTAATCCCAGCGCTTTGGGAGGCTGAGGTGAGAGGATTGCCTGAGCCCGCGAGTTCGAGATCCGCCTAGGCAACTTGCCAAGACCTCATCACTACAATAAATCAAAAATTAGCCAGGGGTGGTAGTGCTTGCCTATAGTTCCAGCTACGTGGAAGGCTGAGGCGGAAGGATTGCTGGAGCCCAGCAGGTTGAGGCTGCGGTGGCTGGGAGCGTGCCACTGCACTCCAGTCTGGGCAACAGAGTGAGACTCCAGCGAAAAAAAAAAAAGAACCTATGTCTAAAAACGCAGGAACACAGAAAGCAGCCACAGAAAGATGCTGTGACATCGCCGTCCCAGGTCCCTGAACACGCTTAGGGAGTGGGACCGACAGAGCAGACACTCCCTCGGCCCAGGGACACCAGCAGGGCACATGGGCATGGGTTCAGCGTTCTGCCTGTGGAGCCTGGCCCTGCCTGAATCGGTGCCTTCTTTCCAGCTGGCCTCACGCAGGCTCCGCACTGCGAGCTTTGTGAACCAAGGGAAGCACGACTCCAGCAGCCTCGACTCTGCGTGTGGGTACCCTCAGACGCTCACCAGTGCCTTCACCTCCTGCTCCATAAGGCTCCAGGCTGCAGGGAAGCCTTCGCCAAAGACCCTATGCTTTCTCAAAAACACTAACCATCCGCATGCCTGTCATTCCGGCTACTCGGAAGGCTGAGGCGGAAGGATCGCCGGAGCCCAGCAGGTCGAGGCTGCGGTGGCTGGGAGTGGCCACGGCACTCCAGTCTGGGCGACCGAGTGAGACTCCAACTCAAAAAAAAAACAAACCACTAACCATCATCAAAGACTCCTCACCAGTACTTCCCGAGCACTAGCTCTGAGCAGTAATGAAAATGAAATTGGAATAATCAAGTGAAAACTGACAGTGCCCTGCCCACTGTCCTGCCAAGCCAGCAAACCTGTGCTCCGTGAGGACGTTCACTGCAGACGGGTGATTGGCACAATACATGAGGTACAAGGTCTTCATCTGTGGCATCAGGTTTAAAAAGCAGCCTCCGACTCTCTGCTGGGCTTCAGGCAGCCTGGAGATAGGTAACACAAACGGACAGTCGTCAGTTTCACAGGCAGAAAGAAACTGCTAAGGGACGGCCCCATGCTACCTGCACAGGAGAGACCTCCCCGGGCCCCATCTGTGAAAACTGGATGCACAATCTCAGAAGCCATCAGTTCCACCATGACCCTCGCAGGAAGAGACATCCAGCCCCTGGAAAGAACTCTCTGGAGTTCCCTCCTGCAGCGTCCTCTCTGCCAGGACTTGTGCTCAGCACAGCAGCTGGCCCTCAAGGCCAAGTTCTCCGGGCAGTGAGAAACACAGATGTCCCAGAGCCTTCAATTTTACATAAGACAAGGGGAACCACCTAACGTGGCTACGTGCTGTCTACCGAAGGAGCATCAAGGCTGACCCAAGCAGCGATACTAAAGACCCCTCTCCAAGTGGGAACACCAAGGTGGGTTTCCTCAGTCAGGGAACAGGCAGGATAAACAGTCACTGGCTCACAAATTAAGCTCAACTATTCAGCACCATCACAAGGTACTGGGAACAGATTAAAACAAAGTAAGAAACAGTCTCCACCTTAAAAGTGGCCGCTGTCTTCTAGCTATCTTCATGGGAAATGAACAGGAAAGTAAAATGAGTGCAAGACAGAACACTCAGTCCCAGTTCCACACACTGAAAACCGCTGCCAGCCTGCAGGGGAGGAGAGATGTCCCCACAGGGAGGGGAGCAGAGCCTGGCTCTCCTGCAGCCACAGGGGTCTCACAGCCAGACACACGCTTCAGCAAGAGACACCGAGCTCCTTCTCCCTTCTCCAGGGAACCGCACACCTAAGACACCGATGTCTGGAGACCACTACAGACATCTGGGCAGGTGATGCCGACATTCGGAGACACAGTGAAGAATCCAGCTTGAGTGTGGATGAATGTGTGTGAGCCCTGAGTGCTTAGCCAAGGACTGAGGCCATGGGGTCATGATGGGGTGCCAAAGCTGCTTGGCTGCAGATACTGCTCAGTCCTGGTCACACGTTAGGCTACAATTTCAACTCCCATCTGGCCCGAGCCACAGCCCTGACCCCTTCAAAGGAGAAGGTACCTAAAAACCGGAACAACAGATTTTCACTTCTGATATTTTCGTCACCGAGAATTAAGTCGTATTGCAGTATGGCTTATAACTTCATCATACAAACTTTCTTTTCTTACTTTCACCCCATCAGACCTAGGGACTAGACCTTAATTACCTCTCTCAATCCCAAACCAGTTCTCCAAGAATTCACTGTCATGCTCACCACCAGTCAGTTTCTGTCTATAAAGCCCTTGCAATCATGAACTCGGCAGCAGGTGAAGCCCAGAAAGGTCGGTGAAGCCCAAGCCTGGAAGGCAGGTAACACACCAACACGTAATGCCCACTAGACAGCTAAAGTCACAAGACGAAAGCGTGTCGCCAGACGAGGCAAATCACACCGCCACTCCCACCCTGGCCCTGGCAGAGCGGGGGCCGAGATCAGGTGGCAGTCGTGGCGTTGGTGTGCCAGAGTCACACGTCCTGCCTACACTCGAGATCTCTACAGCACAAGCTACCAGGGGTGTCCATGGGTCTCTTTCTTTCCCAGAGTGAAAATGACTGGGTCCCAGCAAAAACATCTGAGAAATCCGAACTGCTAACCCACTCCCCACAACACGCCCGTTCCTGCTGACAGAGACAGAGGAGAAGTGACGAGACAGAGGAGAAGTGACGAGACAGAGGAGAAGGGGCCCGCTCAGCAGCTGGCGACTCCGGGCAGAGGCTGCGACGCACGTAGAGACAGCCATGTGTTGCGTGGCGCTCACAGGCCGTTCTCCACAAGCTGGCACGGCCCACCTGGGAGCAGCGGCAGCCTTCAGGGACAAGCTTCACAAGCCGCCTCATGTTCCCACAGGCACACAGACACATGGCCTCTGGGCAGTCCTCTCTTACTGACCCCACACCCAGAAATGGAGCCCAGTTCTTCCAAGGGGCCCTGTGACCCAGGAGGGCAGCAGGGCCAGAGTCAGGCTACAGGTGACCACACGAGGGCTCTCCCGGCTTCTCTCCTGACAGGTGACCCGTCTTCTCAGGCATCTCCCGGGCCGCTGATGTCCCAGTCGCCACTGCCTTCAGGACACCACAGGCTAGACCCACTGCACAGCCACGTCACCGTCCCCTCGAGGTCTTAGATGCCTACCAGTCTCAACCTGGAACAGTGCTCTGAAGCTGTGTTTCTACAAAATCAGCAGTCTGCACAAGAAAGGGAATTACGGCCAGGGGGTATCAAGGGGCCTCACGTGGCCAGGGCACCTGACGGCCAGGGCTGGAACCAGCACTGGTTGCTGCATCCTCTGCCTAGGCCTGCAGCCTGGTCCCCCAGAGCCCTGCAAGGCTGTGCCCCGTGACCTTCAGTCACCTGGGCCTGTACCTGCTAAGGGCCCAACTTCTGCAAATTGTCCAGGAAAGCCCCGATCATCTCCAAATCAGCAATAAGCCCTGCTCCCTGTTACTCGATCAAGGCAGCCCACGCAGAGCCAGAAGTGTGCCAGGTCTGAGCCAGCTGACTGTGCTCCAAAGTCAAACATGATCCCAGATAACCTACACTCGAATCAGTTGTGTGTTTCAAAAAGGAAGTTTTCAAACACACTCTGTGTGTGTATATAAAAGCATTATATCCTCTACCTTTCAAATGATAATTGATAATAACCTAAAAGAAAACTATTATGAAAATGTTACAGTAATGGTCCAAATATTGTAGACACAAATGCATTTACTTCTATCTTAAGGTAAGATTACTAATTAATTCTTGAACAAAATCCTTATGTAAGTAAAATAACAATTCCATTAAATACTTATGTACTATATTAAATATTTCCTTCTAGCTATTGAAGTCCTATCATATATAAGGCAGCACATGGGAATTCAGTCTACAGACGTGTGTGATACATGGAGACGGGGTTAGCCACCAAATAAGGTCCAAACACCCATGGATACGACACGTGAGAGAGGAGAGGTGCCGAGAAGAACTGCTGTGTCCCAGGGCCTGAGGAGCATGCAGGAGTTTAGTGAGAGGAGATGGGAAGCAAATCCCACAATGGGATGGGGGAACAGGGCTGGGGAGAGTCACCATCTCTGCAGGAAGTGGCAGGAAAGGCTGTGAACCGAGGCGTGAGAGGGCAGGGACAGGAGTGCAGCTGGAAAGGAGGCCGAGTCCATCTGGGGAGGGACTTCTAGAGATTATTACAACTTTGAATTATTATTATAGTTTTGAATAATCTGGTGGGTCTTCTAAATTCGTTTTTTTCAAGAGCAAAAATGACCACGATTTTTCCAGGCTCTGTTCCAGCATCTCAAAGCCCAGCTAGTCAGACAGTGCTCTGAACAACAGATGTACCATGGGGCATGCCCAGAGCATCTCAGATGACCCATTTCAGAAAGAGCCAGTGCTGGATGGGAAGGGAACCATCGGGAAGGCAGAGTCCTGCTGCGAGGTTTGTGCAAAGGCACCATAAGAACCCAGGAAACCCTGAACTGCAATGTTTGGGGTGTCAGGGACAGCCGGCGGACAGATGGGGCAGATCCTCGGCGGGAGGCCAGGAAGAGCTAAGATATACCAGGCGTCCCAGGAGAGCGTGGCCAGGGAGAAGGCGTGGGTGGAGGGGCAGGAGGGGCAGGAGAGACCCCCACAGGTCCTGACGTGCCCACCAAGCACCTCCACTGCAACAGGGGGTGAGAGAGATGGATCCGGAAAGCCTGGCTTCACAGGCAGGAGGCAAAGCTGGCCTCGACACCGAAGGCCGGGGAGTGGCAGAGTTGACGCCACACCATGTGAGAGCAGGTCAGGGCTCAGGACAGGACAGAGGGCGGGCAGCAGGGAGGACATGCCATGGGCAACCCGTGAGGAGGCGGCCGGGTGGCTCAACATAGACATACTGACGGCTCCGAGCGCTCTGCCTCCCTAGCGGACACTGACGGAGATCTCTCCGGCACCCACCACATTTCTCTGCGGAATACTTGTGCCATTTCTCTAACACCAAGTGAAGCTTCCTGTCTTTTTCAGCTTATGGCACAACCACAGTCTCCTTGCAAGTAGCTGATCCGTGTCTGGTAAGAATAAGACCAAAAAGACATTTTGCTGTTTTCTACCATGCCAACTACAGGCTATGATGGCCTCAACGAGCTGGGGGTTAAAAATAAGCTGTCTCCCCTACAGTTGCTCTAGAAAAACACTAGCTGGCATACTGACACTGATGGGTTCTGAGAACACTTACCTAGCAGGGGAAGCCTGTATGTGCTACAAGGGACCCACTCTCCAAAAACGAAGTCCATCCTCTTTCAGGTCCCCCCCGTATAATAGGACTTACAGTAGATCACCCAGCACAGGGCATTACCCATCACTTAAAATAAGATCGTGAACTCTATCCTGAGACAGCACTCACCATCTCTTCTCTCCCTACAAACTGCCCTGTCCCAGAGTGAGGCAGGGTCTTTCCCCAACAGGAGAAGGCAGCCTGGACTCCAGCCAGGGGCCACTCTGTCCCCAACACAAGAAGGAGGCCTGGGCTACAACTGGGAGCCCTGTCATCAACATGGGAAGGCGGCCTGGACTCCAGGCAGGGGCCCTGTCCCCAACACAGGAGGCAGCCTGAACTTCAGGCAGGGACCCTGTCCCCAACACAGGAAGACGGCCTAGACTCCTGCTGTAGATGGGCCTGGCCCTGGCCGAGAAAATGAACTGGCCATGGCTGCCTCTCACTGGGGCCGCCCGACAGGCAGCCAGGCCTGGGTAGCGCCCACAAGCAAGGGTGCTGCAGATGGAAGAAGCTAACAATGAACTCACCTCCTCCACGATCTCCGGTGGAGACAGGTGACTCTAAACGCAAACCCACCAGCCCCAGATATGCGACCTGGGCACGTCCCTCGCCCTCTTGGGGTCCTGGCTTTCTCATCTTCAGACACCTGCCTCGTGGCGCCGTGTAAGGGATGAGACTTGTTAGCACGTGCACAGTACTGACAGTGGTCCTGGGAACATGTTAAGAACCCAATAAAAGGCAGGTTTCCACATGGAAAGGCACCCTTTCTAGTCACTGACAAGAAGACATACAAAGCAAGACAAAATGTATCTAGAAACTAAGTCATGGCTAAAACTGGTAAAGCCCTAAGACGGGCAGGATCTGCCGCCAAAGGGCATCTGAGAAGACCTCGTGATGGCACAAGAGTGAGAGGACCCTGCCACCGAGCCCTCCGGGTGCCCTTTCTGCACATCTGCGGCCTCTGAGTCCGGTCTCGCGTGATGTCTCCTGCACCAGCCGTCGAGGAGGAGGAGGAGCTACCGCCTGTGCCTCCCACACCTGCCCTACACCGAGGCTGAATCGCCCTCACTGCCCCACTGAAACTGGCAGCTCTCAATCCTGACTCCGTGCGCGTGTGTTCCCTGGAAACCAGAGCTGAGAGAACAGAGACAAAGAGAAACGATACCAATGTCTGGATGAAGAGATGACGGGTGAGTTTAACTGTCAGTGTGTCCTACTCTGCAGTTTCTGGATCTCTCGTGACGCGCGCCCGTCACTCTTACAACCAGAAAGAACGAACGAACGCATCTTAGCACATGCCCCCTCCCCCAGCGCCTTCTAGGCTTTCCCCACTGGCACCGCCAGTGCACCCACCCAAGGACCCCGGCACTCCCTGTGCTGCACAAGGAACTGCTACAGCGGTAACCCCAGGAAAGCTTTTGTCAGGGTAAAGGAATGCTTAGAAAAAGACGCGTAAGCTACAGAGAGCTCTAGGCGTGGGGTAATTCTTGGGAGAAGCAGACAGAAACAGGAGAATGACGGATACACGAATGAGCAACCGTGAGAGAAGCTGGCCCACGCCGCAGATAAGAGTGGCTCTGGGAGGGGAAAATGGCTGTGGACTCCCAGAGGCCCTAACTAGGAAACTCCACCAAGCAAAAGGCTAAAAAAGAGCTAAAGCCCGTTGTACCAGCACCACACCAAGCCATTGTCAAGTGGCTACTAGTCAGTGGCTTTTAAGGCAGCAACAGCACCGATCACGGAACAGAGCCCCAACGAGGTCTGGCAATCTCGGGCCTGACTCTCCACAGCCCCGCCCGCCACAGCAGCCGCTCGTGTTCAGCGGAGGGGGATGACGACACCACCAAGCGCCAGCCCATCCACGCAGGCAAGCCGGAAGACAACACCGGAAAGACACGGCCTTCAAGGCCTACCTCTGCAGCACACAGGGGCATGCAAGCAGCCATGCCGCTAGTCACCTCCATACCCCCGAGGAGGACGAGCCAGTCTCCTCTGTCTCCCAGTGGCCCTGCCTCCAAGGACACCTTAGAAATCACCACTTTTGCCACGTGTTCCTCTGATGATCCCTGCTGTAAAAACTAAACGGTCTACCATGCAGCTCTAACTGTCAAAGTCGACCCACCTAAAAGACTTAGAATAACCTAGTTTGCATCTTTAGAAATATGAATTCTAAAATGATGTTTCGCTTGACCCTTAAAATACCAATTATGCCAACATCGTACTTACTTGGTGCATTCTTCTAAAGACTGTACGAGCATTTGCTGGAAAGAACATATTTCTTCCAGATTTCCCATTAAATAGGAAATGTCTGCTGAACTTAACCTGGAGCCAAGAAGAACAACAGTCAACACACGGAGACGGTCCCACCGCCACTCCTCGCCCTCCCACCCCGCACCCTGAGGAAAGCCAAGCAGACAAGCGAACTGCGTGGCGAAGGCGAACTGGCCGAGCTCAGCTCTGTCACTCCACCCCTGTTCTCTGGAGACAGAACAGCCTGCAGTGAAGACTATTGACAGGAAACACAGTTTGCCATCTGACTTACTTCTCACTGGTCTGCAATGGCCGTAGGTAGGCTGAAAGCACAGTCTGAAGCTCTTTAGAATATTCATTTTCTGTTTCTAAAATATTCTGTAGCACCTACAATAAATGAGGAACAAGTGTTAGTTGACATTTCCAGTGCTGTTTGACATGGAGATTTATAAGCTTTGGACAGCTCATCACCACTGCTCGATTCATACTGTGGCCTCTATGTAATACCCAAGCGTTTGGTATCATCATTCCTTGCGATTATTAACTGCTAAGCCCATGGAGTAAATTATTACTAAGGCTACACAACTGACTTCATCTCGCTGCCAACCATATCTCCCACATGAGGCTAGAACGAATTCATTTCATCGTTAGATGAGTAATGCAAGTCCACTGAGATAAGAGAAACCACTCGTCACCACAGCAGCACAGACAAAGTCGACACCATCGTGCTGTGCAAGAGAAGCCATCCCCACAAGTACACCTGCAAGACTCCATGCACATTAAGTCTAAAGCAGGCAGAACCAATCTGTGGTGACAGAAATCAGAAAAGAGGTGAATAGCCGGGTGGGGGAGGGCCATGGGGGAGGGGCTCAAGATATATCTCTAGGGTGAGAAACAGGGTCTCCATTTAATTTGTAGTTACAACAGATATGCAGATTTGTCAGCGTTCATTGAACTGTGCCTTCAAAGTCCATGCGTTTTAATATGTACACCATAGAGCAACTGAAAAACAAAGTTTACTCTTTAGATGGCATCTACAAATTGAAATCAATTTCTGGGAACTACAGAATTTCATTACCAAATATGAGTTTCAGAGCACCCTACCTACAATGTTTTTTACAAATTAAAGGTCTGAGGGAGTGGGATGTTCCACTTCCAAGTAAGAACCTTCGCAGTGCCAAGGGTAAAAGAGAATTAAACAGGGGTGATGCTGAGAAAGGCAAGAAGACTTCATTCAGAAGAGCGCCCAGTGCCACACCTGGGAAAGGGAGGCAAGCACAAGACTTGGCCATATCGCCACGGTCTCTCTGGGCGGAGGCCAGGCCAGGCCGCTGGATTCTCTTACACAGACGCCATAAGAAAACAGGCATCACCAGATGGAGTCTTTGGAGAATCACAAGAATGCATCCCTGGAGCAAAAATGATCTTTGTGGCAACAGGAAGACAGAAAGGGTAGACTTGACAGCTTATCTCAGAAAGTAGTAACTGGCCACTGCCATATTTATTACAAAACAGAAATGTCTCATGCCTCTTTTGGTGTGTACCACAATTTAATTGATCTCACACACCAGAATTCAGATCACGAAGGACTGACAGAATATTTTTGCTGAACAGTTCTGAATTAACTAAGACTGGCTTGTGGATAAATTAATATGATCAGGTTTTTTTTTTAATTTTAAGAGGAATCTGAATTTAGTAAGCGCTATCACTGTCTTCTCCCTCTAGAAGTGAGGCTAGACCCGATCAGTAATGTTCAATTCTTCACAAAAGTGTGAATGCCACCTTAAAGCCTCCTGGCTTTATGTTTTGATTTACATAACCTGTTTATGAGTACATGTAAACACTGGGGAGATCCCTTCACTGTCTCAGAACAAAGCAGAACTTACCTGTTTCATGTTCCTGAGCCTCTTGAAGGCAAGCACCAAAGCTAAGGTAGCAGTGTCTCCTTTATAGTTTTGGTCTTCACTATGCCAATCTAATTAGAATTCCCTGTATTTAAAATGCTGATTTTTACTTACTGAAAGGCATTTCAGCGTGCTTCATGCGTAATACCGAGTAACACTGAGCACTTCTCACGTTTTATACACAAACTGCAATGTCAGATTCTTTTAAAAGTCAGCATGACAAGAAATAGTAGCAAGTTAAACTTTACTTTTGAATTCTTTACTAAGTCAGATTAAGTTATAATTTAGGATTGCCCTTAAAACAGCTATTCAAAAACACATAAAACTGTAGCATTACTGTGGTCGTATGACTGAGAATGGTGTTTCTGCCAATTCATTAGCAGGTTTTAAGTAGAGGAAATATACACAAACTAAAAAAGTCATGTATTTTCATAAAACTGAAGATAATTAAATACAAAATCAGAGATCATGAAGAAAATTAAAGGTCTATCAACATAAGCCATCTTTAACTGTGACTCTGTTTAAAGATAGCAGAAAAATTTATAAATCAGCCTTAGAATTAAAATGTTTCCTGATACCCTGTATTACGAAAGCAAATTTAGCCAAAAGTAAGTCCCATCAATTGGCAGATAACGGAAAGTGCATGATGCTGAGATCAAACACAATCCTCTCCCACTATCACCAACAGCACGGCCCCTCCCAGGCGGGACCAGAGGACACTGGATGTTAAGCGCTGGTGTCAGGACACCACCAGGGCACCAGGCTCCCAGTGACCAACGCTCACCACGTTCCTGCCACCAAGCATGTGGTGCCTCTCATTCTTGCAGAAACTCTCCTCTCAGAAAGGCCAACGTGTCCCAGCTCCAACAGCGGGTGGGCAGCCCTGGTCTCTGCCGCTGCACTCCCCCACGAGCCCTCCTTGGGCGTCACATGCAGGACAGGAGTCGGGGCTCCCGCAGGACCTGGCCCACGCAAGAAAGGGAAAGCCCTCCCTCAATTCTTTTCACCCTCCCATTAGAGAGCCAGCATTTGTAAATCAGAAAATCATACTGCCTGTATTTCCTGCATATTTACCACATGCACTAAGACATGCTGTCTGTCTTTCAAAGCTAACAAGCATTCCAAATTAATCACACAAAAGAAACTATACAGAAGTCACCAAGATATTACACATGCTCATTTTTGACTCCAAAATTTTTGATAATCTGAATGTAAGTTGAAACATTTAAGAAAAATCACTGTTAAGTTTAAGCATCGGGCTCAGTAAACGCAACCTGGGTTATTGTTCTATTTGCTACTGTATACTACAAGTTCTGAGGCCAGAGGAGAGTCCCTCCTGAGTAAAGCCGATCCGATTAAACAGCTTACATACTCCACTCTTCGAGACAGCAGAGTCAGAGCCTCCTCCCCCGGGGCCACTGAACTCTGGCTCATCTCTGAAGGGCCTATTCACGCAGGAGCCTGCTGAGGCAGGGCGGAGGGGCCTCGGGGAGTCTCTTTTGTGGGGCGATGTGGATGCCGATCCCACGATCACAATGTCTTCCTTCTGAGAAATGCCCGCTGAACACAAATGTCAACGGCCTGGTGGACAGAGGACACACTGTGGCACCAGCCACATCATCAGAGACGCTACTTGAAACCAGGACTGATCCTTCAAAAACAATGGGAGAAGTAAGCCAAGTATAATGGGACCTTGAACCAAAAGAAATAAAATAAAATCTGTCACAGACATATAAAAAGGAAAGTCCTTTTCCAATGTCAAAACAAAGATAAAAAATGATTTAGTTTCTTAATCACAAATATCGAACACCTACACAGCAACACTGCCTAGCGCACGCTTGCAAACCCATATGAGTAATTTTTCATACAGAAAGATGCTCCTATGTGATGTAAGGAGGAAGATAACCATGAGAAACCATCCGCCGTACTAATATGAGCAGAGGAATAAAATTCAGTGATTCTCCTCAATCCAGCACCCAGCACGGTATGCAGATGCAAGAGTTTCCCAGAAGAAAGCACTGAAGTCCTCGGCCAGAAGAGTCAGTGGGTGAATCACAACGACTAGTCTTAAACACCATTTTCAAGCAGATGCTACAGACAATTCTACAATGCCCACTGCCAAACAATGCAAGTCACATTTAGCTCTTCCACAAGTGCCGGCCAGATGCGACTCCCGAGCTCCCTACCTCCGGCCCGCACAACCATCCCCTCCGGAAAGAAGCTGTAGCCTTCCTGACCCAGCCACGCCTCGTGGGTACCAACCGTCACCTTTTGTCCCCTTCCCGTCTTCTGTACACTCTGGCTGCTGCAGGACCCCATGAGACCTGACAGCCTGGCCACCACGGCGCCATCACACCACGCTGGGAAGCCAGAGACACGCAGTCTCCAGAGAAAACAGTCAGCCTCTGGAGTCCCCGGGGCTGAAGAGTGGCCCAGTCAGGGGGCGTGGAGTCAAGTCCCGGCAACAATGGTGCTACACAGGGCAAGCAGCTCAGCGAAGCCTCTGACAGTCCCTACACTGTAAGCCTCACAGCAAAGGACACAGTAAGCACTGGCTCGTAACCTTGAGACACACAGAAGCTGACTTGAGTAGCTGCGTGACTAAAGGCGTGCTTAAGTTTCTGATTTTACGAGTGGGTGACAACTTTCACGGCCAGTTTGGTGAGGTGTACCTGCTCTATCTTATATGCCATTAATAGCCACTCAAAAGATAAATAACTTACATATAAGAAGCAAATAACATTAAGTAATTCTTCCAGATTCATCCAGATAAAAGATTTTCATCATCATGAACTAAAGTCAAATTTCCATAATTCCAACGTATAAGCACGAGAAGAAGAACTAAAAAAACCCATACAATTATTTGAAACCCTCTTCCACCCCATGTCATCAGCCCTCCCAGCGCACCGGCACAAAGACACAAAATCAACTTGAACACGCTCCTTTCACTCCAGTCTACTTAAACTAAGGATTTAAATTTTCAAAGTGAATTTCGAGGACCCTGACTTTCTGCAACATCAAGCACAAGCCTAAAACAAGACCACAGGTGTCACTGAGCACAGAAGGCAGGAAGCACCATGCCCTCCGGGTCAGTAGGCTGAAGAAACTGCGTTCCCCACTGGGGAGGGAGAACTCCTCACCCTGCCAGAGGCGGCTCGTGGCTAGTTCTCTCCAGGTCAGGCACCCAGGCCCCTCCTTCAACACACCTGGCCTGAGACGGCACCAGCTAAAGGAGCCAGTTTCCTGAGGCCAAATTATTCGGCAATAAGACACCGGGGCCGGCGGAGGCAAAGGCTCAGGAGAAGGTGGTTGTGCAAGACCCAGACAAGGCTGAGCGGGAGCCCATCACACCAGGGTCCACCCGACGCGCCGACGAATCTCAGCACAAGCTCAGAAAACGCAGCCCTCATGGCAAGGGGTGGTGCAAAGACGCTCATCAGCAGCTATCCACATCACAAACCAAGGGTCTCGGGGCTCATGTTTACACCTGCTGACTATGGAAGTTAAAAAGACCGAGTGGGAGTGGGAGAAGAAATAACAGCATGAATGCACCCCTTCCACAGAATCCAAAACAGACACATGTAGAGAGCTGACTCCGCTGTTGCCACACGGAGTATACACCAGCCATTTAAAATGGGATCTAAATAACGAACATGGCTTTCCATTTCTCTAGCACATGCAACTGTTTAGGAACCAAGAAAGATTAGATTATACAGATTTAACAGGTCAGAGATTTTTAAGCTCACAAATTGATCCCATTAAGTTTTAAAATGCAGCGCATTTTAAGAGCCAAACCAGCTGTCTTTAACACACATCACATCTAGGCATGCCCGCATGCCCCTCTAGCTCCAGGCCTTTCGATATGTTCCCATCAGTCCTGGAAAGGCATTACTGAGAGACAAAATAAATGAGGAACTGTACTGATCTCAATACCCACAGTCTATCCCAAATGCTGATGTAATGTCACGCTATATAAAAATTTCAAATCACATCATATACCTCTTAAAAGTCTCATTTTTGAAGACTTGTAACGGTATGGGGAAATAATCCCCATACCATTGTTATGTGAGAAGAGCAAGGTATATACATGTCCATTTAAGCAATATTAAAACAAAACCATAAAATCATAAAAATACATGCAGATTAGAAGGAACATGCCAAAACACTGGTGGTGGTTGTATCTGTGTGGCAAATAATAAATGATTTTTACTTTCTTCTTCCTCTTCCAGTAAGTTCACCTATATTCTACGTGGTTGAATTTTACAGACATTCTAAAAAGTTATTTGCAGAAAACGTCTTGTGATGACTTACCACATTGTAATAGCTTTTGTTGATGGCAGTTGTATCGAATCCTTTGGGAGGGCTCTTCAACGCTCCTGATTTGGGAGACACAGGCTTTTCTGAAATAAAAACGGAACGCAGTTTTACTCAGCAGCACTTTAGATAACAAAAAAAGTGCCGGCCCCTCACCGAATTAACAAACCAAAAGGAGAGCTGAGGAAAAGGCATCACACGGTGACAGTGACCAGCAGAGTACAAGACCAGTCCCTCGGTCTAGCTCGGCGGGCCAGGGCTCCCACCACGCCATGCCAGCACGCCAGCACACTCCCCCAGTTTTGAGTTGAAATCCTGAGAGGCGATGCTGCACAAGTGTCAGCCGAAACAGGGCAGCTCAGTATGCAGACAGTCGAACAGTGTGGTCAATACAAAACATCACCCCAAGAGAAAATGCAGGCAGATACAAAGTACTCAGGCACCGAGACCCACAGCACTAGGCTGCAGCTTAGGGACACAGAGCACTCAGTATGCAGGATCAGGCCCCAGGCTTGAAACCGTCACTATGCACAGGAGATGAGAAGGGAAATAAGAAAACCCCAATTGTCAAGAACCTCCATGCCAGGCAGTTACGGCAGTCAGACTGCAGCCAGGACGTCAATGTTCTAAGCAGCCCGGTCCTCGTTCCCCAACCATGCAACACCCACTCACCCAGTGCCACAGGCCCTGAAGAAACATGTGCTGAACACAGCCTGGCGTGTGTGTCTGTCCATCACGGACCTAGGGGGTGTGTGTGTCTATCATTGGTTCCACAGGGCGGGTGGGTGGGTGAGGCTTCCAGGGTGGTTCTGTCACTGGTCCTGTGGGGGGCTGGTGGGTACATATGTCTACATGTGTGTCTACCATCAGTTCCATGAGGCGAATGAGTCTATCACTGGCTCTATGGGGACGAGGAACGTCCGACTGTCAACTGGTTCTATGGGTGAGTGTGTCAGTCTATCACTGGTTCAATGGGGTGGGCTGGTGGGCGTGCGTCCAATGCTGGTTCTATGGGGGCTGTCTGCCCATCACTGGCTCTCCAGAGCCACAGGGGCAGAGTACCACATGGGGAGGCAAGGACAAAGGCGGGAGCTTCTTTCCCAAGAAATTCGGATGAGCCTAAGTTCACAGCCGTCCCCCTCAAGCCTCCCTTCCCCTGCAAGAACCCAGCCGTGTGACTGGCCATTCGTGAGCAGAAACGCATCCTGTCCCCTGGGGCAGAAGCCGAAAGGATGCCGAGCGGCGCCTGTCCACAACCCTCTCGGGCCCTCCTGCTTTCCTCCACGCGACCCCCACCCACAGTCTCGGTCCCGGCGCTTCAGGGAGTGCTCCCCACCGCAGAGCCTTCCGCCCCGCACCCCGGGTGCCACCCGCCTGCCCAACGCCTGCAACACCTTCTCAACCGTAGAAGCCCAAGTGCCCCAAACCAAGCTCGCCACCTTCAGCCTGGGGTCCCCCCCTCCTCTCATGGAGCTGTCTACCGGCATTTCTTTCAGTGCCTCACTGTCAAGCTCCTCCTAGTGGTTGAAAATAAAGACCAAGACAGAAGGTGCCACTGCTAGCTGAAAGAGCGCTCTCTGCCAGCAGGAGGAAACGGAACTCCACAGGAAGCCCAGGACTTCCACTCTGGAAGAAACACAGAAGGAAACACTGTGGCTTCCACCAAAACACAGCACTGAAACACAACATGAGAGGGTCCAGGCGACAGCCATTCGTAACAGAGAAATGCACACAGCCAGGAAGCAGACGAGAAAACCCTCAACCTGCCTGGCATCCTAAGAAAACAACTTTTTGGCCCAGCTGATGGCCAAAAATCAGTGAAATTCCCTGTCAGGGGTGTGGGGGAACGAGAATGGAACTCAGTGCTGCCCTTCCCGGGCTGGTGGAGGCAGCAGGCCTTCCGCTCTTGCAGTAAACTCAGCAAATGCCGCCAACAACCGTGCTGACATACAGAGTGTGAAAGAAGAGGCGTGGCATCCCAAGGCGCAAGAGGAGGGCAGTGACTTGCCCTCGTGCAGGGGCTGGGGGACAGTCCCGGCCCTGCCTATGTGGGCAGCCCAGACTCACGTGCTCCCCTGAGAGCAGAACCCCAACTCACCCAGGGCCAAAAAAACCTCTGGGAAACCCAGAGGAAGCCAACGCTACTCCTCACTGTCGGAATCTTCTACAACCCAGGGGGTACAAGGTGCCCCGCCGGTCAACCGTCACCATCCAAAACGGACCCACGAGAAGGAAGCATCAGCCACCACTGAGAGGGTGAAAGGAAAGGCCCAGCTCAGGGAGCCAGCACCCCAGGCAGAACGACGGGCCATGAAGACAGACGGCGTCAGTGCACATAACGCAGCAGGAAGACAAGAAACCAGAGCCACGATGAACACCCAGGGCACCGTGGAAATCAGACACATGTGAACAAGAGTGAAGCAAAACTTCAAGAAATAAATGATACAGTCGTGAAAATGAAGACCCCGCCAACAGGCTGATATCAGTGAGGAGGGAATTCTCGAACTGGAAGACAGAGTTGAGGAACAGACTCCAAAGAAGGTAGCACCGCAAGCATAGGCAACGGGAAATATTTTTAAAAAGCAACCCTTGGGAAGAACCTTCAGAGCTGAGGAGGCCTTGAGTCGGGGGCCAGAGATGGCCACCCTGCGGAAAACCAGAAGCCACAGCCGAGCAGGGCGCCTGGACAGCGCCCGGAAGGCGACCCGGGGAGCTTGCGAGGGCCGCACGACGCCTCCGCTTCGGCCTGGGCGAGAGGCAGCAGACACCGGCAGGGCTGGCGCTCCGGCCTCTCCTCAGAGCAGCGCTCGCGTTTCTTCTTCCTCACCTCCCTCTCGACTGCTTTTCGTGTCACGGACCCCCTCCATCTGTGGCGTGTCTGGCAGGCCCACAGGCTGCAGGAATGAGGACAGCATTCATTGCCTCGTACATCTCCGTCAGAGCACTTGGGTGACCAGATCCATCGTCCATGAGCAGTAATATTTTAAAAGGAATCTTTCACTCTG